TTTTTTTTTTTTTTTTTTTTTTGCCTTTGTTGTTTTCCCAGCTGGCAAACTGGAAACAGTGAAATGGGCGTTCACCTGGCCCCTGAGCTTTGTCTTGTACTTCACTGTCCCTAACTGCAACAAGCCCCGCTGGGAGAAGTGGTTTATGGTGACCTTCGCTTCCTCCACGCTGTGGATCGCAGCCTTCTCCTACATGATGGTGTGGATGGTGAGTCCAGGACCCCATGCAGTGCCGGATCTCTTCAGAGAGAAATACTCTCAACCAGAGGGGAGTAGGTACAGGGGTTTCGGCCCAGTAACTGTATCAGTCAGCTATCGCTGCAACACACTGTGTAACAACCAGCCCCAAATTCCGTGGTTTAGAATCACAAGACTTTATGCTCCTGCTCACATGTCGACAGGTAGACCATAGAGTAACTGATCTTAGCAGGCGCTGGCTAAGCAGTCTGCTTCCAGCTCCAGCGTGGTTACCTTTGATTCAGGCAGCAGGTGGGGTTCACGTCTACTCCGTGTGTGCGCTCATTTTCTTTGGACCAGTGGCTACCTGGGGAATGTCTTCTCACAGTGGATCACTGGAATGCAGGAGGGCAAGGGCAAACACAGGTGCCTTCCAGGCCCTTGGCTTGAGACTTCCACCCACACTCCATCAGCCAAGCCCGACATCCATGGAGTGGGGGAAATATACTCCACCCGCTCTAGTGGAAAGTCCAGCAGGGTCACAGGCAGCCAGCGTGAAGGAAGGGTGGGAGGCATGGGGGGGGCGGTGACAATCCCATCCATCATAGTCACTCCTCATCTCCGCTCAGTTTCTTCAACCAGAAAATGAAGTCATTGGACCAGGTGAATGCTCAAGGGTCTCTTCTGAAGCTGAAACAATGATTCAAGGAGTGGCATGGATTAGGGACCATTGCTCAAAAGAGCCTCTGCCCCAAAGCCATTCCAGGAAACCCAGCCAGCCAGAGTGCACTTCCCATCTATGACTCTGGTTTCTAACTGAGGAGTGAATCTAATTCATTAGAATTGGAGTTGGGCAGAAATTAAAAGCCATGACAAAATTATGTGCATATAATCATGCTTGAGCATCAGGTAGAGATGCAGTATAAATTCTGGAAAATTAAACTCAAGAGCTAAAAAGAGGTTCTGAAAAGATTATTTTAGAGGTAATAACAAATGTGTAAACCTGACACAATTAACTCGTAATTATCCCATGCCTTCAACATCACAGACAAACAGATAATTTTTTTCAACCCAAGTCTCATAGCCAGGGGTTTTTCCTTCATCCTGTGTTCATTGACGTTTTTATTTGACACATTCATTGGGTGCCAGGTTTGGGGAATAGCATTGGTGTCCCTGAACTCCAGGTGGCCCAGTGGTTTTCTCTGAAGTCCACTAACACGCAAAGTAGCCGACAGATCCGAGGTTCACCCTCCTTCTGTTTGCCTCCTTCCACTCTGGGGGAGGTTCTGAGAAGCCCAGAGACATGGCCAGGAGTAAGCGGGAAACCAGGAGAAGCCCCTGAGACCTGGTCCTTCCACCCAGAGAATCACTTCCCCCAAACGCCAGCCTCAGCCGTAACCATGGTAACCACAGTAACAGCAGGTCGAGGGCAGTGGCCCCTTCCCAGGCCAAGCCCCATGGAGCCAAACCAATTCCTGCAGAGACCCCGCTGAGGGTGAGAAAGTAAAAACAAGGGTTAGCCAGGACGCTTGCAGCTCCATTTTACAAAAGGCTCCAGAACAGCCAGAAGAAACGCTGTGTTTCTGCTCTCACTTTCCTCCCTGGAGAGGGGAAAGCAGAGAACCCGAGGCCACCCCAAATTCAGTTCAGCACTGGATGGAAATGATGTGCATTCCCTGTTTGAAAGGGACCATGCCAGGCATCCCTACGGATTTAACTAACATCCCCCAAACCTTTGGGCGGGGAGGGAGTGAGGCCAGGCTTCAGTGCAGGGGTCCCAGAGGAGCTGGGAGGAGTGGGCTACTTACCACAGCCCATTTGCATTTCTTGTAATTTTACAGAAAGTGAGGGAGGGCACGTGGCATCCCACAATGACCTCGTCGGTGCACCTCCTGCAAGTTTTCCTCTCCTGAAGCCAGCGGACCCAGGATGGGTCTCTTTCCACTTACTCACTTTTGCCACTTGCCCCTCTTCACGCCTTCTCACCCACTGCTTTCCTCCCAGTTTGCCCATCTGGAAACTGGGGGCCAGAATGGGCTCATTTAATGGGATGGAAGCACTGCCTCTTCGTCAGCTGTTCTTCCTCCAGCTAAGCCCCTCCTGTGTAAATAGAGGTGCTGCCAGTGCCAACGGGCGCAGCCTGAATGCCCGGCTGGGAATGTCCCCCCACCCCGGGCCACTCCCCAGTGCATGGGCCTTGGGCAATGCCTCCATGTCCTCGTGTGAAGAATGGAGATGAGCACCTACTCCCTGGGGTTGTGGTGAGAATTAAATAAGTTAAAGCCCACGAACATCACTCAGCACTAACAAAAGTGCCTGAGTACTAGATAAACGTAAGCCACTGTGGAGCAGAGGATGACGTGGGCAGAAATGATGTCCCCAGGCTTCCAGCAAGAGAGGAAAGGAATCAGCTGCTTATGGCTTTTCCTACAAGGCTGGATGGTGTAAGTCAGCCCCTTCCCAGCTCCTGTAAAGACTCATTATGCGGCCAGCATGGGACGTGGACGCTTGCGTTCCCAGCACAGCATGGCAGCCATCCGTTCTGGGTTTCCCAGGAACGTCCTGAGTTCAGATACTGTCCCTATATTGCCTTTTCCCAGAAACCCTGTTTCTCCTCTCTCAGGCCGCCTGCCTCACCCAAAGGAACAAGTAAGAGAGGCCAGTCTTTGGTTGGAGAGCATGGGCTCCGTAACTGCACCCCGGTCCCCTGCCAGCAGCCCCATCTGCGGCCTGAGATGTTCCTCGTCCATCTGTCTTGATACAGAGAGCAGACGTGGCCGCCAGAGAGACCGCCCAGATTGCAGACGTTTCAGCTTTTGGCTGGGAGGGTCTGCGGGCAGGTGGGGCTGGTGCCAGCCCTCAGCTCTCCTCTTCCCCGCCTCTCCCAGGTCACGATCATCGGGTACACGCTGGGGATTCCTGACGTCATCATGGGGATCACCTTCCTGGCAGCCGGAACCAGCGTGCCCGACTGCATGGCCAGCCTCATTGTGGCCAGACAAGGTGGGACCCCGAATGGGGGGGGGGCGGTGGGAAAGGAAGGCAGGACTTCCTACTTGGGGGGCGGGAGGAGGTCACAGGGCAGTTACCGTGGCACCAAATCCCAGCCGGGAAGGAGCACTGGGCCGCTTCAGTGCCACGCCGGTCAAAAGGCTTCCTGGCATCTGAATAACAAGGAAACAAGCCAAAGGTCCACCCTCGAGGAAGGCAGAGACGCTTCCTGGGTCGCACCCACATCCTCTCTGGAGGTTGTATTACTTCTGTTATTAAAAATAGCCCTTTATTAAAAGGCTATTTATTAAAAGGGTTTCCCTGGTGGCGCGGTGGTTGGGAGTCCGCCTGCCGATGCAGGGGACACGGGTTCGTGCCCCGGTCCAGGAAGATCCCACATGCCGCGGAGCGGCTGGGCCCGTGAGCCATGGCCGCTGGGCCTGCGCGTCCGGAGCCTGTGCTCCGCAACGGGAGAGGCCACAACAGTGAGAGGCCCGCGTACCGCAAAAAAAAAAAAAAAAAAAGTAATAAAGACAATGATGCCTAACCTTTGCTGAGTACCACAACTGAACAGAGCAGTTTAAGCACATGATGTTACTTAACAACTCTATGAGTTAGAGACAATCATATATGCATTTTATGGATGAGGAAACGGAGGCTTCAAGAGGACAGACCCCATAGCCTAAGGTTTACCCACTGCAGAACCCCTCAAAGTGCAAGCTGCCAGAGGTCACTCTTCAGTGTATGACAGACCCTTCCTCCCTCAAAACCAAGATCACAGTTTACCTGCCCCGCCCTAGGTGGATGCCCCCTGGATGGGCGTGCACCTCCCAGCCCCCACTCTAATTTACGTGCCTGATTTGTGCGGGAGGAGACTGGTTTTCAGCAAACACAACCTGTGGCTCCCAGCCTTAGCACAGTGCCCTCCACTGGTCCTTGTGAAGTTCTGCTGGTTACATTATTTTCCTTAACGCTGCTCAGTTATTTTAGAAGAATTGGATACAGCGTAGAGCAGATGGGTGATGACACCGAACCATGGGTTCAGTGAACCGTGGGTCAGTGAACTCAGGAGCCCTTTATAGCCTGCTGAGTTTCTTTCTTTCTATAGGGTGCTTCAGAATTTGGGGAACCATAGTTGGTTTTCAAATTACATTTAACCGATGATCATATCTGAAGTAAAGCTCAGCAGTTCAATAGAATGTATATTTCATCCTGTTCTATTGAAAAAATGCACACAAAAAAAGAAAATGCGTATTCAATAGACTATTTTACAGTCTGTATCATCCTACAGTGATGGGTGGCCCGGGGGAGACCCGGGCACGTGGGTCTCTGGCTGTCAGACCAGGGGCTCGAGAGAGTCCTTGGGGGCCAGGGCACCCCCCAGGGACCACCTCCCTCACTCAGGTAATCTCTTGTCCTCACAGGCATGGGGGATATGGCCGTGTCCAACTCCATCGGGAGCAATGTTTTTGACATCCTCATTGGCCTCGGGCTCCCCTGGGCCCTGCAGACCCTGGCTGTGGATTACGGATCCTATGTAAGTGGTTTTTCTGCTTTTCGTGGCCTCGGCCACTGTAACTGTGTCTCTGGGCAAAGGAGGTGTGGAAACACTCACGTGGAGGGGAAAACAGATTCTCCTGGCCAGGTCCTCGCGAGGTCAGGCTCATGTGGGAACATTCAGGACTTGAGAGCAGAGCTGGTAGGCGGTTTCTGGGGAGGGCCAGATAGTAGATATTTTAGGCTTTGCCACCCGGACGGTCTCTGTCACAGTTGTCATCAACTCTGTTGTGGTGGCCTGAGGCAGCCACAGATGATGGCAAGTGGATGAGCGTGGCTGTTTCAGTCCAACTTTATGTATAGAAACTGAAATTGGAATTTCAGATAATTTTCACACGTCATGATACATTATGATTCTTTCAAATCTTTTCAACCAATGAAAAACGTAAAAACCCTTCTTAACTCACGGGCTGTGCAAAAACAGCCGGGGGGCCAGGTTTGGCCCATGGGATTTGTTTGGCATGCAAAATATTTTTATTCATGAAGGAAGGGCACAAAATACCCGATGCTGTCTCTGCCAGGGACCTGGCAACAGTCAGACCCCACAGTGATGGCCCCCGCGCTCCTTCTCAAGTCTAAGCCGACTGTGACTCCAGGTGGATTTGCAGGTGGGTGACACGGGCGGTCCAGGTAGATTTCAGGGCTCCTTCCCAGCTTCCCAAAGTGTCCCTCCTCTGCTCATGGGCACTTCTCTCCCAGACACTGTCCAAAGATGGAGGGAGAAACTACAGAGATTTCTCTCTGTATCTGGAAGAAAACAGTATTATTTATGCCTCTGAAGTTTTCACACCCAACCCAGTGTCGGGTGCTTCTCTAAATGTGTTACTGACCGTTGCTTCAGTCTATCTGTGTAATGTGTTGTCAGTAAGTGTATTTTCTGAAGAAAATATGGTGGCTCATTTTATCAGATGATGGTTGTCTCCGAGTTGCTTCACTCATGGCTGTTTCAGGTAGGGAAGGTGTGTCTGGTGATGAAATTGAAATCCATGCAGAAAGCCCACGCGTTTTTGGTTCATTTGAAGCTACCTGTTGGCAGAGAGGTTTCACCAAAGGGTGAAGATAAGCACAAGAAGTTGGAAGGAAGCAGAACATGTCCTAAGGAACCAAGATATCTTCTCTGCTGTCTATGAAATTGTGGGCTGACGTGGTGAGAGAGGACGCATTACATTACCTCGGGGGGTCTGGGAAGGCTCCTTACAAGAGGTGACTGTGAGTTGAAGTCTGAATAACTAGAGAGAGACAACCATGGGAAAATTGGGGCAGGGCAGAGCAAAAGCATTGCAGGCAGAAGGAACAGCCCATGCAAAGGCCCTGAGGCAACAGTGCACTTGGCCTGTTGGAGAGAAGGAAGGGGTTCAGGGTAAGTGGAGCAGGGTGAGCCTGGGGGCTCGTGGCCTGAGATGCACTTGTGGGACAGGCAGGCCCAGATCATGTGGGTGCTCGTTTGACAGTTAATAAAAAATGACAACATTCAAACTGACGTGATATATGGATTTACAAAATGATGGTTTTGATGACTTCTATGAGAGATTCAGCAGCATGAGTTTTTTTTTAACTGTGTTTTAATTGATCTTTTCTTTTAATTACCAGAGAGGCTGAGTATTCTATTTTACATGTATTGGCCTTTTGGGTTCTTCTTTAGGATAATTATCTCTTTATCCAATTTTCCATTAGAGGTTAATGTGTTTTTTGTGGGTGAGTTGATTTTTTTTTTTCATTTTTTTCCCTTAATAATTTTTTAAAAATTTATTTTATTGAAATAGAGTTGATTCACAATGTTCTGTTAGTTTCTAGTGTACAGCAAAGTGATTCGGTTGTACATATGTATACACTCTTTTTCATGTTCTTTTCCATCATGGTTTATCACAGGATATTGAATATAGTTACCTGTGCTATACGTTAGGACCTTGTTGTTTATCCATCCTATATATAATAGCTTGTATCTGCTAATCCCAACCTCCCACTCCATCCCAACCCCATTCTCCCTCCCCCTTGGCAACCACAAGTCTGTCCTCTATGTCTGTGAGTCTGTTTCTGTTTCATATATATGTTCATTTGTGTTGTATTTTAGATTCCACATATAAATGATATCATATGGTATTTGCCTTTCTCTGTCTGACTTACTTCGCTTAGTATGCTGGTCTCCAGGTCCATCCATGTTGCTGCAAATGGCATTATTTCATTCTTTTCAATGGCTGAGTAATATTTCATTGTATGTATGTACCACATCTTCTTATCCATTCCTCTGTCGATGGACAGATGTCCACTGGCTTACTTTCATGTCTTGTCTATTGTAAATAGTGCTGCATGAGCATAGGGGTGCATGTATCTTTTTGAATTAGAGTTTTGTCTGGGTATATGCCCAGGAGTGAGTTTTACTCCCGGGCCCTAAGCCCAGAAGGACCACTTAGCCTAGGCTGACTGTAAGGTAAACAGGTGCCCACCAGAGGCCAGCCCTTCAATGGTCCCCCATCAGTGCTCCCGAAACACCATGCCCCCCTGACCACCTGCTGTCTCGGATATTGCACAGAGCTGTGCTAGCACCCTGTAGACTCACAGCCCCTGAAGGTGCCCTGCGCTTCCCCTGCTGGAGTCTTTCCTCCTGCAGACTCTGACTCAGATGCGCACACTCCCCATCACTCTTCCCATTTGAAATGCTGTTCCTCCCTCCAGGTCTGTCGCAAATGCCACTTCATTCAGGACTCCTCCCTGGACCCCACCACCCCCCACCGCCGCCAAATGGGATCTCTCTCCACAGCCTTTATTTCTGCCTCACTCACGGCTCGTCCTAAATCTGTGAACTTGCTTCATCTTATCACATGTTAAGTGGCATGTAAGAGAGACACTGAAGAAATGTCATCCAGGTTGGCACCTGAAGGAGCATCAACCATTGGGTGGTCACAGGATTCCAGATAATCTTCCCAAGATTCCTAAGAGTGCCATTGTTGTCAGTCAGAATCTGATGAATGGACTCACATCAACCACATTCACAAGAGTTTGATATATGTGCTAGAATGCCAGCAGATGGTACTAAGATACCCAAGTGCCAGATAGAAAGCATACTTATTCCCGATGACTTGCGCTCTATTTTCCTGGAGAAAGATCTTATGGGGGAGGTATCTGGGGAGCCCCGTGACCACCTTCAAGTTCACTGACTCACCAGGAGTACTCATGGGACTCAACAGCAGGTCATAGTCACAGCTAAGGTTTATTAGAGCAAAGGATTTAGAGTAAAAGCCACAGGCAAATAAGATGCATCAGGAGAAGTCCAGAGAGGTCAGGTGCAGGCTTCCAAGTCCTGCCTCACTACAGGGCCACGTGCAGGAGATGGAGTCTGAGGCTCTCTGGAGGGCTGGTCAGGTAGACACACTCCTGCAACATGTACAGCCGTGATCACAAAACTCAGAATCCCAGCACAGACACCAGGTACATATCATAAAGCTTGCCGAACATCCTGCCAAGCTGGCCCAGTGTGCCCCATCGCTTCCGGTGTACACACCAACATCATCAGTCAGTGACATAAAGAACATTCCAAGGGCCACGTTCTCATCGGCCTGAGAGTTCTAGGCTCCGCTGGAGGCAAGCAGGATTGAATAACCAGACCTGTTGCATTGATACCTTCCCCAGGGAAGGTCAAGTTAGAATTTTATTTCTCAGAATAAGCATTGCTACTACTCTATTACAAATAACCACAGAATCTCTCTGGGGTAGCCCAACGAAGGTTTATTTCTTGCTCAAAATCTGCTGCAGTTGCTTCTATCCTGGCAGCTCCCGTGGACGCTTCAAGCAGAAACTCAGGGATTGAGGTTTATTCCATCAGGTGGTTCTACCATCTTGGAGTGCTTCTCCAGCGGCCACTCAGAAAGCCGAGAGGGCAAGGGCGTGGAGGATGGCGCAGATCGGTTTTGGATGAGGCCTGGAAGTGGTCCATGTCCTGGCTGCCCCGACCCACTGTCCAGATAAGTCATACGTTCCCATCTAGCTATAAGGGAACTCCAGGTCATTAGTTGAGCTGTGTACCCAGGAAGGAGTGGAGACGTGGATGGGTCCTGCAGTCCAGGGTGTCCGGTTGAGAGTGGAGTCCAAACAGGAAGGATTTGCTGGATAACCTTCTGCTGGGGCTGCTGAGCTGCTGCTGTCCGAGCGTCCACCCGTATCGTAGGGCCTGTCTCTCTGCCGCCCCGAGCTGCCCCCTCCACTCCAGCCATGCTGAGTGCACTGACTAACCCTGCCTCTGAGCTCCTTTTCCTGGGTCCCGTGTGGACCACCTCCCTTCTGGTTAACACATCTTTTCTGTACTTCATCTGAGAACAGTATTTTCCACTGTGTTTACACTCTCATTAAAGCCTCACTGCTTCCTTTCAGTACAAGTCACCTTGATTCTGTTTTGCCATTCCTAAAATAATCTCTCGGGTTTTTCCTACGGTCCACGAATCTGAACTTTACTTTTTTCTTCCTTTTCTCTTATTATAAAAATAGCTCATGGTCTTCATAGAAAATTAGAGAAACGTTAATTAGAGAAATTCTAATTAGAGAAAACTCTAGAGCAGTACCTGCCCAATAGGACTTTCTGCGGTGATGAAAATGTTCTAGCCGCACTGTGGGATATAGTAGCCACTAGCCCCATGAGACATTTAAGCACTTGAAATGTGGCTGGAACAAGTGAAGGCCTGAATTTTTTAATTTTTATTTTATTTTAATGAATTTAAATTTGTATAGCTACATGACTTGTGGCTGCCCATGAGACACTGCAGCTTTAGAGGATGAAATAAAAGTCATATAGTCCAATCCAGAGATATCAACTGTTAACATTTCTGCATAGTTTTCTCTTCCTAGACTGGTTGACATAGCTGATGTCATGCTATACAATTTTGCACATTGCTCTTTAAAATATTTCTTACACACAGCAAACATATTTTCCTTAAAAGTCTCATTAAAAACATTGTTGGGCTTCCCTGGTGGCGCAGTTGTTGAGAGTCC